CCTTCCCTTCCCTTCCCTTCCCTTCCCTTCCCTTCCATTTCTTTCCCTTCCCTTCTCTCCCCTTCATTCTCTTTTACTTCTCTTCCATTCTTTCTTTCCTCCCTCCTCCCTCCCCATCATTTCTCCCTCCTCCCTCCCCTTCATTCCTCCCTTCTCCCTCCTCTTTATTCCTTCCTCCTCCCTTCCCTTCATCCCTCCCTCCTCTCTTCCCATTTTCCTTCCCTTCTTTTTCTGGATCTGTGTCCTTAGCCCACACTCTTGAATTCATGGCTCAGCAGTTCGAGAGGTCCATGGCATGGCCTCTCTGACAGTGATCTGCTGACTGCCTCTCCTCGAACCCCCTCCTCTCTGGTCCCTGCTCTAGGTGCCCCCACCTCTTCTCAGCAGCTATCACCTCTCTGTTGAGGCATAACACTGGCAAGCACCCTTGGCTTTCCCTCACTGTCACCCCAACACACGGTGCCAGCTCTCCCACAGGGCTCTGATGCCATCCTCCCTGGTTTCCTTCCCACCCAGACCTCTATGGACCACACGGACCACGGTGGCCTGCTCCGTTGAGGTCTTTGTGCTTCACTGTCTCTCCGCTGTCCCTCCTCCTGGGCATGCTCACTCAGCAGTGATGGCAGACCCCTCCTCGGTGCAGGATGCTGTCCCAAGTGGTTCACATGCTCTGGTTCGACCCTCTGGTCAGTTGATGTGGTGGTCTTATTGCTCCCATTTTCCCAGTGACATTCCCATCTCTTCTACTCTTTCTCCTACCCCTGCTCTCACCGGGTCACCCCGTGGCCCTGCCAACTCTCATCACTGTCCAAAAAGCAGCATCTGCCTCTGCCTATGTGTGACTGCCCCAGAAGCCTGTCATCCCCTGAGAGTGGGACCAGAGGTCTCTGTTCATCTGCTCCTGGCACCTAGTAGGCATACCATAATAATGTCACCTCAGATGCATTCTGTGTAGAGTGGATGGGAACCCATGCTGGAGCCAGGTGGTCTCTATGTGGTCTGGAATCAGTGAAGGGATTGTCTTTCTCAGAGGCCATCACTGTCTGTATTATTGGGCCCATTTCCTGGCATCCCACCTGAAGCTGGACCCTCCTTGTTCTCATGGGGTCCACATAAGGACGGGAGTATGCCAAGAGGGAAGTTTCTATGCTAGGTATTCCAAGAGAGATGACAGACAGACAGACAGACAGACAAAATTATGAGTATTTTTAAGAACTAGAAGGGTCTTAGTCATTGCCTACTAAGTTGCCTACCATAACCTCAGAAGTTCCTGACTAAAATCAAACTATCTGGAAGCCAGGGTTCTTATACTTGACATTACAACTCACGGTCTGATTTTTCCTGACCTTGGGGAGCTAGGAAAAAGCACTGGGGTGTTAGAGAGAAAGGCTTTGCACACCAGCCAAGCATAGTCTCCAGTCCAAGCAAGTAGGCCAGTAGCAGAAAACAAGAACTTCAAGATGTTACTAGAGATGATCTTCCAACTAAAGGCATTTCATAGGCGTTTACCTCATCCCCCAAACACTTATTCACGATGAAGTCTATTCCACACATTTCATATCTCTGTCACCTTCCTTTCTTCCCTCTTCCTTGACAGGGTCTCTCACTCAGGCTGACCTCGAACACTATACACTGCTGAAGATGAACTTCCTGATCCTTCTGCATCCACCTCCCCAAGTGCAGGGATTACGGGCATACACCATTGTACTAGGATTATGTGGTACTGGGGACTGAACCCTGAGCTTAATGCACTCTAGGTGAGCACTCTACCCATTAAACCACACCCCTAGCCCCCCAGTAGTTTCTCATGAAGCTGCTATGTCAAGCTGGGTTGAGATGCCTGCTACACAGTTTTCCCCCAACATTATATTTTTATTGAAATTTTGAAAATTTCACATCATACACCCAATCACACCCACTTACCATCCTTCCATGTCCACCCCACCCTGTGACCTCCCTCCACAAACAAACAAATAAAACCAAGTCCTATCTGTATTATCCACATAGACTGGAGCATGGTCAAATTCTTAGTAACCTGCCCCTTAAATAGAACTGAGTCCTTCCCTTCCTGCACCCCTACCAAAAGCCTAGGGATTGCCACAGAAGCCTTTCACATCCCTCTTTGCCATCCATATCACTGCCAAGGTAGCTTCTTTGCTCTTTTTGGTGGCAACTCTGGCCACTGACATCAACATAGACCCTAGCTGCAGCAGGACCTTGGCCCCAGATATAGCCCTTGGCGGCATCATGGATCAGACATCAACATGGCTTCAGGTTGCAGCACAGACCACAGACATCCTCCACATGGCCTTAGATGATATCATGGGGTCGTGGACACCAACAACAACCCCCCTCATCTGCTGCATCATGTCCCCTGACCCACACATGGCCCTCAGCAGCAGCGTGGATCAGGGACATCAGCCTGGCCCCGTGCGGCTGCATGGGCCACTCACTTCAACATGGTCCCTGGCCTGTGTTTTCTTGATTGTAGCTTTTAATAGGAATAGGGGAGGTGCTAGAACTGTGGTTCTCAACCTATGAGTCGTGACTCCTTTGGGGGGAGTCACATCAGATATACTGCATATTAGATATTTACATTATGATTCATAATAGTAGTAAAATTACAGTTATTAAGTGGCAACAAAATAATTTTATGGTTGCAGGTCGCCACAACATGAGGAACTGTATCAAAGGGTCGCAGCATTAGGAAGGTTGAGAACCACTAGAAAGTCAGGTGTGAAGGTGAAGACTTCAGGATGAAAAATATGAGTAGGGAGGAGGTGAACGTCGCTGTACCATGGGACGCAGCCCTTATTTTACACTTGAGACAACCCATGGAGACAGGGGAATCCATTACTCTGCAGTCACTGCTGGTAGGGCGAAAGTGATACATATGAAGCCTGGCGTGCTTGACGAAGTGTTGGTCTAAACAATTACAACAGAGGAAAATTCGTTTCAAAAGGACTTTGGACATTTTAGACAAATAAAATATCTTATAAGTCTTTAATAACAAAAGCCAAACAAAAGAATTACAAGCAATAAATGGATTTTGTGTGCTTGAAAGCCTCGTTCATAGAACGCTAGATCCAAGAGGTTGAAGCCCAGCGCAAAACAGGCAGGTTTTGCGAACCTGAACCCTCCAGAAGGCAGAGGGGGCAGACCTGGTGTCTCAACCTCTGGGAGTGTCTGTGCCTGGGAGCTGGGTGCATGCAAAAATGTTTCTTGAAACAAACTATGTCTCCAGAGAAGAGTTTTCGAGAAGTTACTAGAAAATTCTCCTGAGGCCTCTCAGTGGGCCCTGGTGCTAGAAGATGGACAGTGTGGTAGGAAAGAGCTGTATGGATTCTCTTCTCCCTGGGAAGCCTTGGGAATTCCTCCACATCCAGCTGTAAGGAAAAGCATGTCTCCAGCTCTAGGCTCACTTGTGAGGATGCAGAGGCCAGAGAGTGGAAGATACTCAGGTGGACCTGGCAGGATGGCCAGGTTGGGGCAAAGGGATGGTGCTGTGGTTAAGAGTGATGGTTACTCTTCCCAAGGACCAGGGCTTGATTCCCAGCATCTACATGGCAGCTCACAACTGCCTGCAAACACCAATTCCAGAGGATCGCATGCCCTCTTCTGGCACTCCATACATAGATACAAATAGAGGCAAAACACTCTTCTATATTGAATAACAATAAGTGCATCTTAGAAAAGATGGGCTGGACCATAGACACATGAATCTCATCTTACCATAAACCTAGTAGCAGAGGCAAACAGGTTGGGTTTCTATCACCCTGCCTACTGCTGGAACCAAGTAGGTTCTCTGGTGCTATGTTTAGTAGGTTCTTTGGTGCTGCGCTTAGTAGGCTCTTTACAGCTGTGTGTAGCTCCCCCTTCTCATGTGTCTTGTCCTTAGATTGTGTGCCCTCACGGATTCCTGTGGACAGGCCCAACACCCACATGTCACTCTGAGAGCTGGCTCGTGCCAACTCACCTCTATCTCCTGCACACAGTAGGTGCTCGTGGAGCAGCAAATACAGAACAGTAGACTGTGAAGGTGGCCTGGGTTTTCCTTTTGGCCTTCTACAAGGCAAGGCCCACAGCCCTCAGTGCAGACAGATTCCACCTGGGTAATACTGTGATAGGTTGAGCCTACTGGAAGACACTGAGGCGGACATTCAGCGTGAGTCTTCGGTATCCCTTTGCAGCTTCCTGGACGCAGCCTCAATCCTGCTGTGATGGGCTCCAGGGTCTGCGTTGCCTACCCCTTACTGGCCTCTACAAGAACAAAGACTGGCCATCGTGGCCCTCGTCCAGGCCTTCGCTCCCCAGCAGCCCTGCCCGCACTGCTCTCCTCACACACCACTGGGGGAAGACCTTCCGTCCACTCTCCAGAGTCCCCTTCTTTAGGAAACCTGGAATGGCCACCCTGCAGGTGGGTCCAATCACCCTCCACAGCTGTCCCACAGATGGGCCCCAGCCAGCCACAGGTGGGATTACTCATCACAGGTTGAGCTGGCCACCCACACAGATGGATTCAACTACCCACAAAGGAATGGTCACCCCATAGGTAAGTCTGCCAGTCCCAGATGGACCTGACTTCTGGCCTCATTCACACTCTCCACTTGTCTATCTATCCTGGGCTTGTGTGACCTGGACAGCTGTGTCTCTTAGATCACAGCCCAGGTTAGTCACATAGAGGGACCTCAGGGGATGTTACAGATCTCTAAAGGACAAAGCGTCTATCCCACTTGACACACCCTCTAGATTAAACAGTCTGAAAAAAATGTAAGAATACTCACAGTACATTTGAGAACTTAGCTTCCCACTGGCACAGTTACCCCCCAAACTAAGAGAAACCCCCACCCACAAGGAAGAATTTCACCATCACCCAGCCCCACTGCCCAAGAGCCAAGCAGAGTAATTATATCTCAATAATTGTTTTGCAGTGTAGGATTTATAATTACTAAATGTGTGATAACTGCGTCTTAAATGCCCATGCTCTTTAAAAAACCTAATTTATAATGTAAAAAGCTGACACTTCTCCTCGGGCTTTATTTTATCTTGTCGGGAGTCATGGAAGAGTAAGTTATTGAAGCCTTTTCTTTTCCATTCGCCTTAAATCCAACGACAATTAATGTGCCCAATTTGATTATAAACCGCACAAATTAAACAATAAAGAGCTGTCTAATGAGAAATTAATTATGAGGCTGGGAAGGGGAGCCGGGCTGGATGGAAGCAATAACTCACGGGCCATGGCGGCGTGTGTCAGGCTTAAAGGAGATGGAGGGTCCTCTCCTCAATGTGTGTCTTTGCTGATAGGACCCATCACAGATCAGTTGATCCAGAAACCATAACAGCCTAGTAATTGAAACCGCTGAAATCAATAGTGCTGACAGCCTTAATTAAATTAAATATGGCCATGATGGGCTCCCAGCGCCCGGCAGTAGCGACGGGCCACTTGACCCTCCGGCTGTGCCCGCCTGATGGAGTGCAGTCACCGAGTGATGGATCTGACCCCAGGGGACAGTTGGGGACCAGGCTCCTGCTGAGAGAGGCTCCATGCAAGCAGAGTAGCCGCTGCTGCCCCGCCCCGCCTCCCGATGCCTGCTGGTCTGCTGGCCGCCTGGTGGCTGAGCTGGACAGTGACTTGCATCTGACTAGGAAGCCTTCTGCTGGAGCAGGGGCTCCGCTCCAGGGGAGCTGGGAAGTTTGTGTCTGGTGACATGTGGTGTGAGTGTGCCGAGGAGCCCCTTGAGTACAGGAGGGGGTAGGGAAGGTACCAGGGAACCCTGTAAGCAGGGCCTTTCATACTGTCTTTGGAAAAGAATCAGGGGACTCTGGCCCCAAACCAGGACAGGAGAAGCTGGTCAGGGCACAGACTACCACTGAGGACTCACAGGCTCCTGGGAAAGCTTCCCAGCCTTGCCAACCTTCCCTTTCTACTTCTGCATGGTGGGTGGGTACACACATGGTCATGGAGCCACACTGGTCAGGTGTGTATAACTTACAGCCTGGAGACACAGGCATCCAGATATTGGGAACCGAGGCACCTGTGAACATGGAGGGCCTTGGTTGGGTTTCAGGAGCATCCAGCGACACAGTGAGCAAGCAGGGGCCCAGGGGTACCATGAGTGACTCACACTCTGAACTCAGAACCTCTGACCCAAACCCACCCTCTGTTCTTCCCACAGGAGCACTGCTTATGAGGAAAGCCTGTTCAGTGTCTGACAAGCTCTTCTCTCTGCCCAGTCATGCCCTGTGACGAAAGTGTGTGGGTTATTAGCCCCATTTCACAGAAGAGAAAACTGAGGCTCTGAGCAGTTAGGCAACTCACTCAAGGTTAGAGAGTGGCTGAGTCCCTGAGCTACAGCAAGAACCTTGCAACCCCAGTAAAAGAGGGCCTAAAATGTGAAGTTGAGGTCTAGGGGCCAAAGAACCCCCAGGCCCCCGGGCTGAGAGGGAGGCTCTGTTGGAAAACTGATTCATCTGAGCTCCTAGAATCTGGAATCTTCCATCTGCCCTTGATCCCATGCAAGAAGAAACAAAACCAACAGCAGTTTTTTAATGCTTTGGTTGTATGGCTGATTTTCTTACAATACACCCACTCCATCGTTGAGTTAATTCTGTGTGTGTTCATGTGCATGTGTGCTTTCAGGTACACGGGCGTGTGTGTGTGTGTGTGTGTGTGTGTGTGTGTGTGTGTGTGTGTGCATGTGTGGGTTAGTGCAGAACACAGCTAAGATGCCATTCCTTAGGTGCCATCCACTTTGATTATTTCAATCTTAAAATATTTTGTTTTCTGTGTGTGTGTGTGTGTGTGTGTGTGTGTGTGTGTGTGTGTGCATTTGAGAATATGTGATGTATATGTATGGTATCTGTGTGTAAGTATGTGTGTGAGAGTGTGTGTCTATGTGTGGTGTGTGTGTCTGCATGTGTGGTGTGTGTGTGTGTGTGTGTGTGTGTGTGTGTTTGTATGTGTGAGTGAGTGTGTGTGTGTGTTTGTATGTGTGAGTGTGTGTGTGTGGTGTGTGTGTGTGTGTGTGTGTGTGATGTGCATGGGCCTGTGTCTGTATAGGAGTATGTGCACACATGAATACAGGTGCCCTGGGAGGCCGGAGGCATTAGATCCCCTGGGTTCTGGGAACCCTACTCAGGTCTTCTGGAAGAGCAGTAAGCACTCTTAAATGCTGAGCCCTCTCTTCAGCCCTGGGTTAATTTATTTTTTTAAGGACAAGAACGATCTAAAATGGACACTCCCCTCCTTCCACTCCTAACTGTGGGGTTCCCGGGACAACAGGAGCAGGCCCACCTTGGCAGCGAGAATACTTGGTCCTCTGGACAGTTCCAGCTGGATACGAACTCGGATCTCAGTGCTTATTAGCCGTGCGACCCTGAGTTTGTCCCTGAACCGCATTACCATGGGGACATGAGTACCTTACTAGAGCCAAGTCCAGCCCAGCTCCAGTGGAGTGTTCCTGCTCACTAGACACGGAACCCACTAGCTTTAGTCTTGGGTTGAGCAAACGCCATGGGGGTGTGGGCATGATCAGGTCGTAAGAGATTACTCTCTCCTCACCAAAAAAGAAGAAAAAACCTTAACAATTACAAAGAGTTGACCTCGTAAACGCTGGCTTTCACCACGGGGAGCTGAACAAATAAATATTTTCAGTGTGCCCTGTTGTTGGCTGGCCTGAGTGGACTTCTTAAATGACGTGAACGAGGCGGCTGGGTTCCTCCATGTTTATGTCAGCACTAACAAACTGCCCCTTCATTACAGTCCTGCCGGAGATCAGAGGCCCAGATTATTAAAGGAGACGCCTTGGACATGCCCAAGTAGTTGCTGTGACAACTCAGCGGGGAGGGGGGGGGGAGGCAGGAGGCCTGCTGTCTGTTGGAGGGCTCCTGATGCCTAGCCAGAGATGATCCCAGCCCCTCCCAGTCACGCCATCCTCCGTGTGTGTGTGTGTGTGTGTGTGTGTGTGTGTGTGTGTGTCCCTCCCTCTCTCTGTCTCTGTCTGTCTGTCTGTCTGTCTGTCTGTCTCTCTCTCTCACACTCCTTAGTAGTGGTTCTCAACCTTCCTAATGCTAAGACCATTTCATACAGTTCCTCGTGTTGTGGCGACACCCAACCATAGAATTATTTCCTTTGCTACTTCCTAACTGTAATTTTGCTACTGTTATGAATTATAATGTAAGTATTTTTGGAGACAGGGGTTTGCTGGAGGGGTCACCGACCACAGGTTGAGAACTATTGTTTGACAGTGCTGGCCGCCACCCTTCCCAAGCTACTCCTCACAGTGCCAAGAACTCAGACCCCCTGTCCAGATGTACAGCCTTGAACAAGACCCCTCACATTCCCTGAGTGTCCAGTATAGAAGAATAGCTTCCACCTTGTAGGTCTCTTAGGGAGCCTGGGACACTACTACTCCAAGCTCACACAGAGGCCAGAGATGAAGGCTAGAGAGCGTCAACCTTGAGGTTCTAACTCCAACAGTGCTCCTCTACCTGCACAGCCTTGGGTAAGTCATCTATTCTCACGAGCCTTGGTTTTCCCATCTGCAAAATGGAGACACTACCCACCTCCTGTGGATGAGCATAAGATACCCTATGTGTTTAATCCGTGTTTATGATCTCTGAATGTCCTAAGGAGGAGGCTCCTGGTGCCTGTCTGAGGCTGGCACAGGCTGGACACCTTCTCAAGGTCCAGGCCCTGGAGACGCAAACCCAGAGTCCTGTCAATGGAATTTACACCCATCCTGCACTCCTTCACTAGAACCCTGGTGGCATAGGGCACAGACATCACACACATGTGTGTGCAGGCCCCCTGCACTCCAGATCACGAGCTGCTGATAACATGGTGAGTCCACTGGGGGAAGGACATTATCACAGAACGGAAAACAAACCCTGCCTTGAATGTGCCCTGCATGCGCATGTGGGAGCTGTCCCAGCCTCCTCCGGCCCAGCCTTGTCCCCAGACATCTAAAGCGACAGAAGATATGACTTACTCTCCCTGCCTGGGCCTAATGGCAGTAGACAGGCACCGAGAGTGAAGCAGGTGGATCATGGGGTGGGTCTTCATGGAGCCTGGCCGACTGCATTGTCCAAGCATCTCCCAGGCAGCTCACTCATCGGTTCAGCCACTGTGACCAGTTCCCACTGGGTGGCCTCATACAGGAACCCGTGCCAGTCGCCATCCGCAGGACTCTTTCCTTCCGCCATCTTAGCCCTTTAACCCCCATCTTTCCACCCCCAGTTGCCCGCTCGCCATGTATGCACATGCTGCACTCAAACTTGTCCACGTGACTGGACTGAGAGGCACCTAGGAGACCGGCGAGGCACATCCCTGCTAATCACTATGGGGTGTGTGGGGGCGGAATGTGCCTGGCACCATCCCCACAGGCTGGGCTAACCAGATGGGATTAAGTGAGGGAGGGGGAGACCCGGCTAGAACAAACACCCTGCACCTGCTTGCTCTCCCTAGCTCTCTTCTTCTCCTCTTTTTTTCTCTCTGCTTCCTAACGGTCATGAGGTGAACTGCTCATGCCCTCCCCACCATGGGGAACTGAACCCTCTGAAACCATGAGCCAAAATAAGGTCATCCACCTACCTACCACCCGTCTATTTATCCATCTGTCAATTAGTCCTCCCGCCTATGTGTACATATTATCTATAGACCTATCTACCTACCTGTTTGTCTAGCCATCTACTCACCAGTCTACTTACCCAGCCACACATTTATGTATTTATATATGTATATATGTGTGTGTGTATACCCAACATAACACACACACACACACACACACACACACACACACACAACACACACACACACACACCTTCAGTCTCTCCATTTAACTAAATATCTAGGCCAACTGGGTTTGGTAGTACCTGTAATCCTAGTACCCAGGAGGCCGAGGTGGGACAATTATTAGTTCAAGGTCAGTCTTGTCTGCACACTCTGATCCTGTATCAGAAAAATCAAACTAAAAAGAAGTGTAGGCTGCAAAGAGAGACTTTAGAGGACTTCACCTGTACAATAAATAGTGAGGACAGGTAAGTTTGAACTCTATAAAGTGGCAGGCAGAGGGCAGTTTAGGACAGAGCTGGCACCACTGTCTTGAGTGTAAACCCTGTGGTCTGGGTGGCCAGGATGGTTTTTTCTTTCTGGGCCATAGTCTAAGGAAACCCCCTTGCTTTGTGACCCTCCATCTGTATCCGTAAGGCCTTTGGCTGCCTGCACTCTGGAAGCTCACTGGCTTTACTCAGAGTTCCCTTATTTTCACTTACTCCAAATGTGGATCCTTTCCAGCAACACCCAGACCAGAAGTCAATTAAGTCAGCAGGCCTCAGGACTTTGTTAAGCAGATGCAACACACACACACACACACACACACACACACACACACACACACACACACTGCCATGAGTACCCAGGCCACCAGCCTTCTTGCCGGAGACTTGGTTTGGGATCCCAGTTGACTTAAGTCCCCATGAACTCAGGGAGCTCAGGATGATCTGCAACTTTGAGAGAAGGGGGGTGAGGCTGGCAAAGCTGAGGGGTCTTTCCTGGAGTCAAGCAGGGGCCTCACTGTCTTTCAGGGACAGGTCCACAGGAGGAAGAGGACAGCCACCCTCAGACACCCACAAAGAGCTCTCACTGTCTGGCCACATTTCTCCACCTTTATTGCTGCTAAGGAATAGATCTAGGGGGCACCAGACATCAGAACACTCAGCCATGGCAGTGAGGAGGAAGCCAGGGCCCCAAAGCCCCTCAAGTTCAAATAGCCCTTCTGAGGTCAGTATCTGACTCCTGGCCCATTCTGGAAAGACTCGCCTCAAATGCATCCCTTTGTCATGGAAAAGAGGGTGTTTATACACTGCCTTACCTCTCAGCATGGCCTCCTGGGACCCCACAATCTGATGCCAGCCCACCCCGTTAGCCCATCTCTAGCCGGTAACCCCCACGTCAAAAGAAGGCTCCGTCCCACATTGTTCACATATCATGTCAGGTTAAACAGTGTTCTCCCCCCCCACACACACACACACTCAAGTTCATCTGGGACCTGTGGAGGTGACATTATCTGCAAACAGGTCTTCTCAGCTATAATTAAGATGAGATCACAGTGAGTCATAGAGGGCCCAAATAGAAAACGAGGGACAGAGGACACACCGAGGCATACAGGGAGAAGACAGCTGTCTGCACGGGAGCAAGGATTAGGCTGAGCCTGCAAGCCAAGGACTGCCAGTCACCCCAGAAAACTGGGTGAGAGTGTAAGTCTCTTACAGGGCATTCAGAGGGGTCAGAGTGGGTTTCTGCAGCTTGGAGCCCTCTGGCTTGTGGTTGTTGATCACAGCAACCCCTGGAAGTGCATCACAGGCCTCAGTGGTCCCTGCTCTAAACCTCAGCCTGATGTCACTCTTCCGGAAGCCGATGCTGCGTCCTTAGTCCTGATCACCCCCCTTATCTCAATGCTGATGACATCTCATGATACGACCATGTGGCACATACTCAAGTTGAGTGCTTCCTGGGGACTACGGAATTACAGTTCCCAGGGCGCTCCCCACCCGGGATCTCCCATCCTGTCTGGCACACACCTGAGAGGCCTTGGAAATTTTTGTCTCCCCTGTTTGACCTGGGACCCAGCCCCTCTCTGGGGCCCGGGCCCAGTTCTGAGCTCATGATAAAGTGTCTATTTTGGGCGATATTGGCCTGGAAGTGTAAACACATACCTGGTTGAGACACAACCATTTCTATCTTGG